ATGCTAATCTCCTCTCGCGTGCACGAGCAGCTGGATAGAAAACGTGTAATTTACGCACGTTTGCTGAAGATAGAAGCGTTTGTTGAATCTGACGTGACATGTTCGTACGAACCCTTTGTACGAACAAAAGTAAGAGAAATTTAGGAGAAGAATACGAACATGTTCTTGCATGAGGCCCATTGATTCAAAGAAATTTTTATTGTCTATCACTGTTATGAAAACATACAGTACACCTGTAAGGATATTGTTTGTTCTAGTGTATCACAGTTGCTACTATCTGGGGAAAAAAGAGATCTGGATTGAACAACAGTCCAAACCAGAATTGTTCAAATAAATTCCCTGTAGCTATTAATTCTTGAGGTTTTTTTTTTGTTTAATTATGAAGTAAGAAACCCACAGCATTAATATATAATGGTTTGGCTGTAAGTCAGAGGATTGTAGGCTTAATATAAATTCATGATGAATACAAAAACTCAAATTAAAATACACTACAGGGTGCATAATTTGGCTGAGCACCCCTGTGGGTAAACGCAACGTCAGCAGCATCAATCTCTGCTGTAACTTTATGAATTTCTCCTCGAAACTGGAGCAACAGGAAGTGGTAAAGGAAGCCACGCAGCCTAAGGTTAAGTTTGACGAACACAAAGGAATTTATTCTCATACAGGTGCAACGGACACTTTCGTCGTCATTTACGCCGACACATTCGGCGAGATAAGGCTCATTAGCACACCCCCCTCACATCTTTAATATTCCTAAATGGACAACTGGCACACATTCTTAGGCAGGCAGGTTAGTGGGAACTGCACTGCAGCAGTTTGTCAGGCTGAACACCAATCCTAAAGCAGTTTCTGAGGGTCTCAATCCCATCCACTACCTGCTGATACTGTGGGAATGGAGAATAAAAAGGCACGGTCGTAAATCAGCAGGCTCCACGAGGGACATGATAAGACTTTCAAAAAGAGACGGGGGGACGGTGCGTTACAGCTGAAAGTTTCACAGATTTAATCAAACATCTGTTCACCCATCCTTCCTCACACACAACAGCCATGATGTCTCTCAGTTTCTTCTCTTTTTCTTATATTTTTCTTTCAAAAATGATTTCACCAAATAATAAATTCATGCAGCTGGACCCCGGGTCGATACATGGCATTCATGAATGTTGTGCTTGTTAAGATAAATTTGCCTGCGTGGAGAACCCTCAGCTCTTGTGTTCAGAATCTCGGCAGGGCATGGATTAGTTTGCATGATCACGTCGCAGTGGAGCGTCCCTGTTTAAGGTGCTCAGTTCTTACCTCTCCCTCTTCGATGCAAAACGGAAAAGAGAACAAATAGAAATTCAGATGATTGTATCATTTTTGCTTTATGGGCTTTCAAAAAGCCTAACTGCAAATGATCTTTTTGTGCTTTACATCATTTTCTTGAGATGGTATTTTCATGGACGCCTATTAGAGTTAATCAGTATCTTTTTGAAAAGTTTACTTTCTGCTGAGAGAAACCAGTCAATTCACTTATTTAACTTGGTTTTTATTGTCTTTAAAGGCACAGTGTGTAGGATTTGTTGTTTTCAGCAACATCTAGTGGTTGACTGGTTGAATCATCCTCCCTGGTCCTCCTCCCACCCCCAACCCCCGCTACCAAATGCAAAGGAGTTTCTACGGTGTCTCTCAGGTGTCAAAAACCTTTGATAATTCCAACTGCGATGTCTACCAGCAGCTTCAGGGCTAGTGATGTTTCAAGTGGTAAGATT